GACTTTTTTTTTAGACCAAGTTTTTTCCCGTTTGACATCGCCCCCCCCCCCCCCCCAGCCGTTCATTGCTCATACCAGCCTTCCCCACACAGTTCCCAAGAATCACGGCCACAGTCCCTCGTAGCTAGGCCACCCGTTGCTTTAGGGCCGTACCGGACTCCAGCATCAGGCCGCCCGCTGTAACAGCTGAACCTATCCACGTCGGTGCGCTCAGGTCATTCCAATCCGGTGAGCCCCAGCGATCCCTCCTCCGACCGCCAATTAGACCTGCGGTGGAAGGATGCAGCCCCCGAGCACACCCTAAGGTTGGAGCAGCGTGTTGTGTTCTGTGTTCAGGGCGCGAGGGTGAGAAAGGTAAACAATGAAAAGGGCGCGAGGGCGAGAAAGGTAAACAAGGAATTTGTTCTTAAAAACCTGGGAGGAGAACCTTACAGCGACATGCAAGGAGAAACTGCAAAAGTACCATTGAGCTCCATGTTGGAAGTTTTTAATACAACCCGGGTTTTAGAGGAAGTCAGGTCAGTAGGCTGGGCTCGCACAATAGAAGGCTGGGGCGAGCCGGTGTTGCTCAGTGGTTGAGCAACGACCTATGAACCAGGAGGTCACCATTGGATTCTGTTTGATTCTGGGTCAGGGCACATGCCTGGGTTGCAGCCTCAACCGTAGTAGAGGCGTGCAGGAGGCTGCTGATCAATGATTCTTTCTCATCATTGACGTTTCTATCCCTCTCTCCCTTCCTCTCTCTGGAATCAATAATAATAAAAAAATGTTAAGGAAATGGGTTGGAAATAGCTGATTTTTGAAATGAGTGACCTCATTCCTCTGTAAGCTGTACACGGAGTACATGTCCCTCCCTACGTGGCCAGCCTTGGTTACAACTGAGTCATGCTTCAAGGTTTATTAGTAAATTAATGTACTCTTGCTAGCTTTTAGAAATGTATTTATTTTTGTAGTTGCTATATCTGACTTCAACCCACCAAACGTTGCCTTTCTTTAAGGCACAAAGAAATAGAAGTCCCCAGTTCCTGCTCTGACAGAGCTTACAATCTATAAGAAAAATGTAAACAATATACAGTCGCAGTAGAAAACATTTTAGCATTATGGTGATCGGCTCCCAAAATAATGGTGCACATTTACCATAGACTTCCAAAGAAAGTCGTTTCAGACTCGGTCCTTCCTCCTCAGCAAAGAGGGGCCTTCAGGACAGAGGAGGCTTGGAAGGTGGGTCTGAAATGTGTAAAGACAATTAAAACTGGTAATGAATTTAATGAAAGCAGGTTCCTCACCCTTGGTGCTGTTGACATTTGGGGCCGGGTCATTCTTTGTGGGAGTGGCTGTCCTGTGGATGTGTGGAAGCATTCCTGGCCTCCATCTGTTAGATGCCGGTAGCACCCTCCCTCTCCCCCACTGTGATCATCACAGATGTCTCCAGATACTGCCAGATGTTCCCTGGGAGATGAAATCGCCCCTCTGCCCCACACGTGCAAACCAACGGACTCCAGGGCCCCTAGAAGAAAGTAGTGGAGGATGGGAACCCTTGACCACCAGGCTGATACAAAGCAGTGAGGAGCCTTTAGAACCAAGCAAAGATAATATCTAAGTAGCTGCTGAAGAAGGTAAACTTGACAGCAAAGGAAAAAGATAGATTGGAGTAGTGAATGAACACAGCACAGGCTAAATGTTTTTGGGTTAATCTGCGTGTGAGGTGACATGATGATGACCTGCATTAGAGTCGTGGAAGTGTAACAGAAACTTCGATGGTCAAGATATCAAGAGAGCCCATCAGAAGGACATGAACTTCCTGGGAAGTTAGCAGTAAAGTGTGATGTGTGCTAAGATAGATAAGGAGGAGATGGCCAAGATTGTTGTTAGGGAGATGAATGTAGTTTTAAGGATACTGACAATGGAAGGGTGGTGACACCTACCAGGTAGCAGCACAAAAGGCTGGACTGGGCTTCAGAGGTGTGACGAGGACTAAAGATAAAGATGTGGCAGTAGTGGTCTGCTTAGAGGTGATGCTTGAGGGAAGAGACTGCTGAAGTAAAAGGACAAGACTGACAGGATGGAGGCATGAGGATCGAGACAAGTGAAGATTTGGTGGAGGGCTGGTGAATAGAACAGCCACCAAGGAAGTCCATGATGCACTTGAAGAAGCAGGAGGTGTAGGAAGGCTGAACATCTGAAAAGGGAAGGAGAAGTGCACTCTAGAGGGGTCCATAGGGCTCCGTGCTATTGAGACATCACAGGAGCAGTGGTAACCAGACTGTGAGATGACCAGAGTCAGTGTGCCTCTCCCTGGGCCTGAGCAAAGTGGCGGGCCACAGGTAGGAGAAACCGGTGGGGTTGCACAGCAGTCCCCACTCCAGGATTCCACTGTACTGCGCTTTGATGCCTTGCTGAAGGGCGCTGCATCAGGCTCGTTGAAAGCTGTGAACCCTAAAGTGCCCCCACACTGCAGCCTGCCGAACACCGCCCCTGCTTTCATTTGTTCCTCTGACCCTGTGCCTTTCCCTGTAGCCACAGCCGGCCCGGGAGAAGTTCTACAGCATGGCTGCCCAGATCAAGCTCCTCTTAGAAATCCCTGAGAAGATCTGGAGCTCGATGGAAGCCTCCCAGTACCTCCACGCCACACAGCTGTACCTGCTCTGCTGCCACCTGCACAGCCTGCTCCAGCTGGATTCTTCCGGCTCCCGATACAGCCCTGTCCTCTCCCGCTTCCCCATACTCATCCGGCAGGTGGCAGCGGCCAGCCACTTCCGGTAGGTGGGTCCACCATGATGACCTCTGGTGAGGGCTGCGCTTCACCACTACAGCTTTGTGGAGGACGTCTTCTTTCCTGGGGCACCAAGGCTCTTGTCTCAAGATGTGAAAAGTCCGCTGGTGACCTTTGTCATCTTTCTAGGTCAACCATTCTGCATGAAAGCAAGATGCTGCTCAAATGCCAGGCTGGGTCAGACCAAGCAGTGGCGGAGGCCCTGTGCTCTATAATGCTCCTAGAAGAGAGTTCTCCTCGCCAAGCCCTGGCAGACTTCCTGTTGGCCAGAAAGGCAGCTATTCAGAAACTCCTCAACCAGCCGCACCACGGTGGGTACCACGGGAATGGGGAAGGATGAGCTGAGGGAGACGGAAGCATCCAGAGCATTTTCTGTTACTCAACTAAAGGAGGGTGTTGTTGAAGAGGATGGTTTCTTCTCGTAGGTGCTGGTGTCAAGGCTCAGATTTGCTCATTAGTGGAGTTGCTGGCCACCACTTTGAACCAAGCGCATGCTCTTTTCTACACTTTACCGGAAGGGCTGCTGCCAGACCCGTCCCTGCCATGTGGCTTGCTCTTCTCAACTCTGGAGACCATCACAGGCCAGCATCCTACTGGTAAGCTTGTAGCCAGCCTTTTTTTATCTTCTGGTTCATTCAAACAATGTTTATTGAGCATCTGCCAGCTACTATGCTAGGCTCTGGGGATACAGCAGTGAACTGGACAAATATGGAACCCACCTTTGTAGAGGTAACAGTCTAGTGGTAGAGGCAGATTTTGAACTCAGTACACACATACCTGTTTCATATCAGTATTGGTCTTTGCTCTGAAGGTGAAGTACAAGTTGGCTTGGGAGCACTGACATGAGCGACCTCACCAATGTTACTTGCACTGGAGAAGTGATATTTAAACTGAAACCTAAAAGCTGAGTAAGACTTAGGTGAAGAAGGCAAGGAAAAGAGTGCCAGGCAAAGGGAAGAGGATGTGCAAAGGCCCTGAGGCACGAGTGGGCCTCCCAGAGTTGCACAGCATGGGCCTATGCCCTGCTAGAGGGAGCGGTCACCTCTGAAGAGCTGCAACTCACTGATCAGGATGAGTGGCCATCAGTTCTTCCCTCAGATCTTCAAGGGAGGTTGGAGGATGGTGAGAAACAGGAAACATACCTTTTGACAATTTAAGTTCTACTTTGCAAATGTCGAGGGCTGCACAGCACTCAGTACTTCTCTCTCTCTTCCCCATTCCATTCCTCACTTTCCTTGCCTTCTCAGCCAATAGGATGACCAGAGTTGGAGGGAAGCTGCCAGCTCCCTGATGACGGAAGCCCTGGACATATTCTGTACTTCCCTTTCCCCCCCTTTCCAGGGCTCCAGTCTGCCCTGCCCAGAGGAAGACTAGATGGTCTGTGGAAATTCCTTCTAGGTCCATTTTTTAATATGCTGTTCAGAGGATGGCCCGGTTCCTTCTCACTTGGCCTTCTCTTTAGAAAAGGGCATCGGCGTTCTCCAAGAAGAGATGAAGCTCTGCAGCTGGTTCAAGCACCTGCCGGCATCCATTGTCGAGTTCCGGCCGGCTCTGCGGACCCTCGCACATCCCATCAGCCAGGAGTACCTAACCGACACGCTGCAGAAATGGATCCACATGTGAGTAGCCAGAGCTTTCCCGAGGCTGGCAGGCACCACCCTGGCAGCCTCGTGTGTGGCCATAGGGCCAGTGATGAGTGAGGGACAAGCCTGACCTCCTGGAGGATGCTCTGCACACCGCTCACTCGGTCATGTCGGCGCCTCACTCAGCCACCTGTCGCCAGCTTCATGGAAGGATAGCCCCTACTGTGGGGAACCGAGAAGGAATCTGTCTTTCAAAATACTGCATAGAGGATTTTAAATTCTCTTTATGTAAGAGTCCTGTCACCCTAAACTTTTATTTAGTTTTTGAAGACACTCTGTAGGGCTCTCGACTTCCTTCCAGATGCCTCAGAGAAGCAAGGATAGGTCCGGTGAAAGGGCCACAGGCTCTCCCCCATCCAGCCAGAAACACTGTGTTCATGCGTATTTGTAACTGCTCTGAGAGAAGTACATTTATGTAATTGGAGGTTTTCAAATGGAGGCCTGCTCTTGCTCTTAATAAAGGTGTGGAATCACGAATCCAATGAGGCCTAAGGAAAATGATTGTGTTGCAGGTGCAAGGAAGACATTAAAAACGGGATCACCAGCCTGCTCATGTTCGTGAAGAGCATGAAAGGCCTGGCGGGGATCCGGGACGCCGTGTGGGAACTACTTACCAACGAGTCCACCAGTCGCAGCTGGGACGTGGTGTGCCGGCGGCTTCTGGAGAAGCCCCTCTTGTTGTGGGAGGATTTGATGCAGCAGCTGTTCCTTGACCGATTACAGGTACCGTGGGCAGTCCTGTGGCAGTCGGTTTTATGGCCAGTCCTAGTGTGATCTGTGGTTGTCTGGGTTGAGTCCTGACGTGTCCTCAGTGTGTTCTCTCCCTGCGGACTTACTCCAGGGAGTCCCAGCATGCCTTCTGGGGGGGTGGGGTCTCTTCTGGGTCTGCACAGGGATCCCGACTCGGTGCTGGAAGAGCCCAGGCCTCTGTCAGGCGGTCGGGAACGTGTCTGTGTCCATCAGCGATGACTTTGTCCTCTGCCAGCATCATGTCATCTGAGCCTGGTGGAGAACATTCGGAATGCTGGATGGACTGCCACGTGGTCCTCTTGTTTTGAGATTTCTGAAAGGAATTGCTTTTCTCATTCTGTTTTAGACGCTGACAAAAGAGGGCTTTGACTCTATCTCCACGAGCTCTAGGCAGCTCCTCACCTCCGCCTTGCAGGAGCTCGAGAGCAACACCAGCAAGTCCGCTTCCAACAAGCACATCCAATTTGAGCACAACATGTCTCTCTTCCTCTGGTCCGAGAGTCCCGGTGACCTGCCTCCCGACGCCGCCTGGGTCAGCGTGGCGAGCCGGGGCCCATTTGGCGGCAGTGGGCTCTCCATGAAAGCTCAAGCTGTCAGTCCTTGTGTACAAAACTTCTGTGCTGCCCTAGATGCTAAACTGAAGGTGAAACTGGATGACCTCCTGGCTTACCTTCCCTCTGACGACTCGTCACTGCCCAAAGAGGTCACCCCCGTGCAAGCCAAGAACTGTGCCTTTGACAGGTACGCAGACGCCGGGACTGTGCAGGAGATGCTGCGGACTCACTCGGTGGCCTGCATCAAGCACATCACGGACTGCGTCCGGGCAGAGCTGCAGAGCATCGAGGAAGCTGTGCGAGGCCAGCAGAATGCCCTGGGCCGTGACAAGCTGCATGCGGTCCTCTTCATGGCCAGGCTCTGCCAGTCCCTGGGAGAACTGTGTCCTCACCTGAAGCAGTGCATCCTGGGAAAGTCTGGGAGCTCTGAGAAACCAGCAAGGGATTCCAGGGCTCTGAAAAAACAAGGAAAGGGGAAAACGGAGAAAGTCCTACCTACGCAGGCCCAGTGGCAGGAAGTGAAGGAGCTCCTCCTGCAGCAGAGTGTGATGAGCTACCGGGTCTGGAGCTCGGCGGTGGTGCAAGTGAGTAGCATGGCCACGTACTTGTCTCACTCCCCACTCATCCTCATCGTCTCCCTTTCACTATAGTCCAGTCTTGTCAACCTTGATCTTTTAACAGAAAGGGAATAACAATTCTTATTCCATACAGTTACTTACTTTCACTTTTCTCTGCCACACAGAGCAAATGTCAAACCTCTTCCATTCATTTTTAGTCTGGACTTAGAAACCCTGGTGATTTTTCCCTTCCATCTAATGAGAAAGACCCTCTCTCTGGATAAGGATCTGTATTTCCTGCTCTGCACCCTAAATATGTTCCCTATAGTCTCTGCTATTGTCTTAAGAGCTGACACTTGCAGAGTAGTTAGCAACAACATTCCCTTTGCCGATACCAGTAATTAGCCAAGAGAAGAGTGACGTTTGCCACTTGCCACCCCACGTGACCTAAGCAGCAGAAGCTCTAGAGCAGGGGTCCTCAAACTTTTTAAACAGGGGGCCAGTTCACTGTCCTTCAGACCGTTGGAGGGCCGGACTATAGTTTTTAAAAAAAACTATGAACAAATTCCTATGCACACTGCACATATCTTATTTTGAAGTAAAAAAACAAAACGGGAACAAATACAATATTTGTATTTGCATGTGGCCCGCGGGCCGTAGTTTGAGGACCCCTGCTCTAGAGTCTGAAAGAAACTCTGCAGGATCTGAGTGGCCTCTCTGGGCATCTGCCTTTTATTACCAGGTTTTAGCCCATGGATTTGCCCAGTCATTACTTTTAGATGATGCTGGCTCAGTCCTGGCCACGGCCACCAGCTGGGATGAACTAGAAATTCAGGAGGAAGCGGAGTCTGGCAGCAGCATCACATCCAAGATCCGACTCCCTGTCCAGGTAAGCCGGGGCCCCTGTCAGAGCCGGACTGAGACCTGCTCTGAGGAAAGGAAAGAGCTTAGAAAATCACTAATGGTCAGCTGCTGAGGGGGAGCTGCAAGTAATAGTTACAACTTTCTGCTGGGGGTGGGGGAGGCCAAGTGGCCATGGGGCCAAGTAGATAGACTGCTCCAGAGTCAGTGATGATTCTTCCCTTTTGTAGCACGGGCTCTGCTAATTCGAGAACCACTTACCCTTTACTGAAAACAGCAGCGTAAAAAGGTGCCACCGAGGGAATGACAGCCAGTGTCACTCGGATCTGTTAGCTGGGCTGTGAGGGGCTGATTGGAGAGGTCAACGTCTTGGTGTGAAGCCAGGATAGATGGACCCGTATTTACTGCGTCTCATTTAATCGGTGCAAGATGGACCCATATTTACTGCGCCTCATTTAATCGGTGCAAGTTGGCGACTCAGTGCTCCTTAGGAAATTAATCGGGTTGGAGGCCATGCCTTGCCCAAGGTGACGCTGCAGGAGATGCTGAAAAACTGTGTGGCTCAAGTAGTAGCTGCCTATGAGAAACTCTCAGAAGGAAAAGAGACGAAGGTAGGTGTTCGCAGTTTTCTCCATTAAACACTGAAATAAACCTTAGCTTTCTCTGGGCTCTGGGCAGCGCACAGCAAGGACTCTGGGTGCTGAGGGTCACTGAGCCCAGGCTATCGAGTTGGTAGTGGCTGCGAGTTTAATTACACCGTCCTCAGGGGTCAGGCAGGTCTTCATAAAAAGGCAGTCAGTACAGTGGGAGGAGGAAGGCCTCAGAGTAACAAAGACCCCTCCTGACCAGGCACAGTCACACACCGGGGTTTGGGGCGAATCATTTACATCTCAGTTTCCTCAGGATCAAATGTGGTCTCTTAAACTAAACTTCTCTGGGGCTGGGAGGAAGTTGGAAGGATTACAAAGCACAGCCTTGGCATGCGAGGTATTTAAGAGTCCCTGCCCCCCCTCTCCCCTCTCACCCATGGTCTGGGAAGCATTCTGCCCTTGTGGCATATTCCCACTTGATTAATAACACTTTTAAGACAGGCCCACCTCCCAATTTGGGAAGAATTCAGGTAAGCCTTCTCTCCTGAGTTTGCTCACAAGGCCTCTCCTTCATGCAAGGGGCGTTTTCCCTTTAAAATGACCATCTCCAGCACCTGAGACCTTTTTTAAGGGCTGGGTCCTCCCTGTGGTTGGGTTTTAAGACCAAGTTTCTAACCTGTTTTGTTGTGAGATTAAAGTGGTATGAATGGAAAAAACATCTGCTTCTGAAATAAGCTGGGACTCAACCAACCCGTGACATGGAAGTCATCTCCTTTAATGGGCGGGGCGGGGCATTCGTTTGCAGAGAGAAGGTGCATTTCCAATGACCCAGAACCGGGCACTGCAGCTGCTTTACGACCTGCGGTACCTCAGCACTGTGCTCACAGCCAAGGGTGAAGAGGTGAAAAGTGGCCGCAGCAAACATGACTCCAGGTAGCCTCACCCCAGCTCTCCCAATACAGCCTCTGCCCAATGCAAGCCCCTTTCCTGGGGAGCCACCAGCCAGCCGTGCTGCACAGTAGCTGTGCTTGTTTTAGACAGGAAGCTCCTGTTGCCAGCAAGATAAATACTGACCAGCTGCTGGCTACATTCCACGGCCAGGCGGAGTAAGTGGGATCTCATTCCTCTTCTCCAGTCAGCCTACCAACTGCTGGGTATAATTGGAGCCTCCAGTGCCCTCCCTAAACACAGCATGGGAAAAATGGACTCGACTTAGACATCCCATCAGCTCAAAACTCTTGAGGATTATTAAGCACAACAATTAGTAACAAGTGATACTGAGCCAGGAATTAAGAATAAATCCAGCTCCAGGATTTCCATAGCATTCAAGTACCAGAAAATGGGTTTTTGTCCTAAAAACTGTGGAGACTCATCATCCTAATCCTTTTCTTCAGAATTGAGAAAGTAACTGACTACTTGGAAGGACTCATTGATCCCTTTGACCTGGATGTGTTCACACCACACCTCAACAGCAACCTCACACGCCTGGTGCAGCGAACTTCTGTAAGCCAGTCCCTGTGAAAGATAAACCCGCTCTGGCGCTATCGCTCCTGGAGACAGTGCTGGGGGGGGGGGGGGGGGGGGGGGTGGAGATACAGGACGCAAGCTGAGGTTAGTTATAAAGACTGAAAGAGGATTAGGTAAGATCTCACTGCTGAGATCTGACCCCATTCATGGTAGATAAGGATTATTCAGGTTTTATCCAGGCCTCAGAAAGGAATAAAAGAGCCATGTGACTGAGATTCTGACAGGTGGTAATTTTTAAGCATTCACACACTGAAAAGAACGTTCCCCAAAATGATGATCACAAAGTGACTGACTACTGACAGAAGCGGCTTAAACTGGCCAATAAACCCACCGTGTTTTTGTACCCCCTTCTTGTCTGTCAGGTTCTATTTGGACTGGTTACTGGTACAGAGAATCAGTTCACCCCCAGGAGCAGCACATTCAACTCGCAAGAACCCCATAACATACTGCCGCTGGCATCGAGTCAGATCAGGTAACGATCCCACCAGGCTTCTGCTGGCCCCCGGCTTCCTGTTCATGCCACTGAAATGCCTTCATCTTCTCTTGGAGGTTTGGACTTCTTCCACTCAGCATGACAAGCACTCGAAAGGCCAAATCAACCAGCAGAAGCATCGAATCCAAAGCCCAGGTTAGTGCAGAAATCAAAAGGTTCATCCCTATGGATCCTGTCCCATTTCCCACCAAACCACCCAATCGGCTCCCCTTAAAGAATCGATAAAGAACTGAATGACAAAATGCACTAATGCTGCTTTTAATGGCGGCGCAATATAGAAGTACAGGTTTTACTAGCTTGAGCTGATAGGTTTAAAAGGTGCTCATTTACACTATCAAGTAGCCTCATATAGAAACAGATCTCAGGCTGCCGAGGCTGGAGATCTGCAGGACAGGAAGGAGGTTGTTCTTGGGTTTTGTAGGATAAAAGAGCGAACTGCTAACCCAGCACTATCGTTATACTTGTTTGGAAAAAAAAGGTTGGTTTTGGTGATGGTTTCATCTTCCATTTCTTTTACTTGGGTGGTAAATAAAAGGAAATTTGCTTTCTTGAGTTTTACATTTTCTTGTTAATACACGTTTTGTTTCAGGAGGTTGCCATCCATTAGCCTGCAGGAGGAGTCCTGGGTATTTCTGCATTGTGTTGTATACATGTGTGTTTGAGAGCTCAAGTGCTGGCTTCTTTCAGCATTTAGTTGTTTACTTTATTGCTAGACAAAACAATAGCAATGAATCCTTTCCACATTCCCTGCCACAAACCCATTAAGATCCAAAATCCTTGTCAAACATCTGGTTTTAAAACTTGATGGTAGTAAAAAAAATTCTTGCACAAACCATCTACTCCATAAGCAGTGGCCTGTGCAGTAACTTCCCTCCCCAATTCTAAATTCCTACTTCAAGTAACTGACCTTTACATTCTGTCCACAGTAGAGGAACCACCACGGAAAGGTGTAGATTTACCCTTTCCTACAGTAGTTCCATCTGCAAAGTTTAGTCGTCCCCATGTCCTCTTCAGTCCCCTGAACTAGAGCTGCCCGTGCTTCTCAGGTCTGTGTGCTGTGTGCACTCCGAGTGGGGTGGGGTGGGGCGGGGCGGGGCGTGGCGGAGGTGAGCAGGCAGGAGGATCTGGGTGGACTCTAAGGCACTTTCCTCTCCATGCCATGGCAGGTTGTCCCCCCGGCACTCTCCCGAGCAGATGACCCGACGCATCCTGGCTCCTTATTCAGACAGTTTGTCAGTGAGGACGAAGACTCTACACCTTCCTTATTCAAACTTGGTTGGCTCTCTAGTATGACTAAGTAACATGGGACCTGGCCATCACTCTCTAAATAAATACTACTGCATCATTTCTACTAACGGTGCCTCTGCTCATCTGTTTCTAAGCCACGCTAGTCTGTCCAGTCTCAGTGGTGGAATGCGGCCCCTAGTTACTGTTAGTGGGGTCACTTCAATTCTAAAGGGAATCCTTGGCCAACAGTCTCACAGCACTGTGACTTCAGACATCAGTTCCGATAGCTTACACTGTCAGCATTCAACAACGCTGCAGTTCTCGACACTACAGGGTAGAATTATCAGTGAGATCACATAAGCTGCTGAGAGAACAGGTTTGTAAGACAAAAAATCATTACATATTTCTTGACTGTCGGAACTGCAATGTTTTCTACCCAATCGGAGATGTAGGCTCTGAGCAATAAGGTGACAATTATCTGCATATACAAGAACCTGAAAGACATTCTCTTGGAAATACAAATACACAACAGAGAAGAGACAGTTACTGGGGAGGGTGCTTCGCATACACAGCCTCACCTGGACCTCACTCTCTGTTACAAAGGAGAGCATTTCCAACCGCACAGCTACATACTAAGAGGTAGTATGGCAATTTCAGTGCAAGACTGAATCAAGGTCTATATTTTGGAAAAAAATGTATGTTTCTTCATGGAAACTACATACTCTTTACTAGTTTATTGAATTTAAAAAATTGAAGATCCCCCATTTTTAAAAGGCCTTTTTACATAAAGTAGAATTTCTAATTGACAGATTTGGAAATCATTCTGAATTGGACAAACTATGGACTCAACACGCAGATGAGATTTCCTCATACCATTACCTTGACATGGATTTGATACCCACCCTCAAAAGAATCCTATAAAAAATTGCTTCAAAGCCCCTTTAAAATTGCAATAGTGCAGCAAAACCACAAGTAAACAACTGCCTGTTAACCTGTTATTTCAAATATAGAGTGGAAAGCCAACAGGCATTTTTTGTGCAATTTTTTAAAACATCATAAGATGAAATATCAAATCTGCACAGCGCTGTCCCTTCACAGAAGGCAAGAAACCACCAGCCCATCATGTTGGAGGCCGGCCTCGGTGCTGTAGGCTATGAAAGTGGGCCTCCTTCAGGGTCTGGTTGATGTGGAAGTAAAGGCCTTGGCATAGTGCAGACTGCTCAGGTGCGGGCTGAGGGGTGTTGGGGCTGGACCCGGTGACGATGTGGTTCAAGCTACTTTCTGGCCCACTGGCCCTGTCCGGGCTGTTGATGCTGCTGCTGCTGCTGCTGCTCCCGCCACTGTCACTGCTTGAAGACTGGAAAGAAAAAGGAACAGTTTCACAACTAGGCTACTTGTTTCTTAAGAACTTTACTGTGGTTTAACTTAAGAATATTCTTCCTACCTAGTCTGAGAAGTACCAGATCAAAACATATACTGAGTTAGCCCGGCTGGTTAGCTCAGTAGCTGAGTGTTGACCTATGGACCAGGAGGTCACAGTTCGATTCCCAGTCAGAGCACATGCCTAGGTTGCAGGCTCAATCCCCAGTAGGGTGCATGCAGGAGGCAAACGATCCATGATTCATCATTGATGTTTCTCACTCTCCCTCTCTCTTTCTCTCTGAAATCAATAAAAATGTATTTTAAAATATTTAAAAAATATATATACTGGGCTTGCCCTAGCCAGTTTGGCTGTGGTTAGAGCATTGGCCCACAGACTGAAAGGTCACAGGTATGATTCTGTTCAAGGACACATACCTCGGTTGTGTCCCAGGCCCCAGTCGGGGTGCATAGGTGAGACAACCAATCAATGTGTGTGTCTCTCTGTCTGTCCCTTCCACTCTCTCTTAAAAAATTAATGGAAAAAAATATCCTTGGGTGAGGATTAATAGTAACAATAACATATACTGGGCTTTACAGTTTACAAGTTACGTTCACCTAAGACAATGGTCAGCAAAATCATTAGTCAACAGAGCCAAATATCAACAGTACAACAATTGAAATTTCTTTTGAGAGCCAAATTTTTTAAACTTAAACTATATAGGTAGGTACATTATTATTGACTTAATTAGGGTACTCCTAAGGCTTAGGAAGAGCCACACTCAAGGGGCCAAAGAGCCGCATGTGGCTCTCGAGCCGCAGTTTGCCGACCACGGACCTAAGGTATTTCATTCTATCCTCACAACTACCCTGTAATGTCAAGTGGGATTACTGTCCCCATTACACATCCCTAAGTGGCAGGGTCCAGACTGAAGCACAGGCCTTCTACTGCAAATCCCTTCAACTACATCTTAACTCCTTTACATGTCTTCTCTCTCTTGTCATTCATTCCAATAATTTCTAATAATCAAGGGAACAAGTTCTCAGCCTGTAAGGCAGGGGTGGGGAATGCCCAGCCCGGAGGCCAAATAAGGCCTGGGAAGTCATTCGGTCTGGCCCTGCCAAGGCATTAGAGGTGAGTTAATTAAATGTTTGAACAAAAGTAGCAGGCGAATTCTGTATGGTCCTCAAATGATGTTATAAAAATCCAAATGGCCGTTGGCAGAAAAAAAGGTTCCCCACCCCTACTCTAAGGTTAAGTATCACTCATTGGTACAGGGTGTAAAAAAGGTATCCTCATAACAGATAAAATGGCTTCTGGGAACAAGTAAGAATAAAAAATAAAAACCTGTGACAATCTGTTTATCTCAAGGACACGAATGGTGTTCTCCGAATGCAGAACACGTCCTGAGATTTTCATATACTTCTTGTAAAGTGATATTAGCATTTTTGCAGTTCAATGTGTGTATATGTGCATGTGCACGAACCTGTCTAATATTTTAATGTAACTAACATGACTGGGTGTCTTAGTCATCCTGAAGAAGCTACTCAGAGATCCCTAACAAGAGTCACTCAGAAATCTCCTTTCTTCCACTAGTAGGGGTCTCAAAGAGAAGGCAATGGTAAGGATCCTTCAGAACTACGGTATTACACAATTTTAATACGGCAATCATTTAATTAGCACTCTCCTCTATTTACAACTCGATACAATATTATACTAGAACAGTGATGGCGAACCTATGACACGTGTGTCAGAGGTGACACACGAACTCATTTTTTTGGTTGATTTTTCTTTGTTAAATGGCATTTAAATATATAAAATAAATATAAAAATATAAGTCTTTGTTTTACTATGGTTGCAAATATCAAAAAATTTCTATATGTGACACGGCACCAGAGCTAAGTTACGGTTTTTCAAAATGCTAACATGCCGAGCTCAAAAGGTTCGCCATCACTGTACTAGAAGGAATAATACATGAGAAAGTTAGAATTCTAGTAATTAATGATTTGGTATAAAATTTTTTCTCATTAGCCTTTTGATACATCTAAATTTATATTCACTTAAAGATACTGGTTTTGAAATGTCTGCTTACAACAATGTAAAATCTATACACAAGAAAAAAGCCTGGAAAGAAACAGCCCATAGTACTAATGTTAAAATTAGAGGGGTTACAGATCTTATTTTTTCAACCCTTTACTATAAATTTTTTGCAATGTGGTTATTACATATTTTACATTATCAAAATAAATGTATAAATAAAATGTTGTTTTAAGATAGATACTTTAAAAGTGATTTTTAAAATACCAGAAGTTACACCTAACAATACATCTATAATAATAAAAGTGTAATATGCTAATTAGACCAGACGTCCTTCCGGACATCATTCGGAGGACCTTCTGGATGAAGCTGGGGCTGCGAGGAAAGCCCGGGTCCCGGATGCCTGCCTGTGACTGGAGGGAAGCCCGGTTCCTGGGTGCCAGAGGGAAGCTGGTGCTGGCAGCCAGGAAAAAGGCCTACTCTTGCACGAATTTCGTGCATAGGGCCTCTAGTACATTATAATCCACATGGGTATATAGGAATCACATGTGTCCTTTTAGAGAAATTATAGTTGTAACTGATGAAGGGACATTGGGTTGAGGTCTAAGTAACTTTGATTCTACTACTTAAAAATATACATGTATATAAACATGCCTGAAACAGCAAAGAAAGCATGTTCACCAAATGCATACATCATTAATAAGGCTTAAACCAAGAGCTGTCATGGTCCATGGGTCACCTGGAGCTACTGAGCATAGGTAGTCGGAGACAACCTAGCTTTCTTTCCACAATTAAAAAAATTTCATGAAAACATAAATGGGCTGAGTGGCATCAGATGGCAGTGTTAACAGCAACAATTACATTTACTTGAAGACTTTACTTGAAGACTTAAATTTAAATAATAAAAAAAAACTTGCTTTCCATAGCAGCCTCTCCTGACCTAGAGTGTAACAACCTAGAATTGCCGCTGGTACACCTCACAAGGCCATGAATATTTAACAAGCAGGTAAGGTACTACACTAGGTAAGAAACCCACCGCGCAGAAAACTTTGTTTCCTCTTAGTCTGTTTTCTTTGTTTTTCGTTACAGGTAGTGTCTGAAAATTAAGGCAAGAACTAGAATCAGTTTCTAGTAAGTCAAGTTTCTGTTTCAAATTATATTTACTTCACAACTTAACAGCAAAGGTGACACTATTCTGAGAAAAGGTAAAAGTTCTTTAAACAGGTTAGAAATGACCATTAAAAGGGGGGAAGGGGACACAAATACACCAGCAATTCCTAGTCCATTTAAAAAATTTTGTAACGTAACTTTATACAGACACACATAAAAATGTTTAGTGTGCCTGGCCTGCATGGCTCAGGGGTTGAGCATCGACCCATGAACCAGGAGGTCACAGCTCGATTCCAGGTCAGAGCACATGCCCGGATTGCAGGTTCGATCCCGGTGTAGGGCATGCAGGGGGCAGCCAATCAATGATTCTCTCTCATCACTGATGTTTCTATCCATCTCTCCCTCTCCCTTCCTCTCTGAAATTAATAAAAATATATATTTTTAAAAATGTTTAGTGTGGCCTTGTTTAAACAGCTAAAGTCTACAAACAACCAAAATGGATAACAATAGAGAAATTGGTTAATTTATAATATCCTATATAATAAAAGCCTAATATGCTAAGTGTCCGACTGTTCGTTTGACCATTTGACCAGTCACTATGACGTGCACTGATCACCAGGG